GCGACTGGTCGCTCGACTGGTCACTTGACTGATCGCGCGGGACCGTCCACGGCGGCACCCATAACTAGCGCGGCCTCCTCGACCGATCGAGCGACCAGTGGCGCGATCAGTCAAGTGACCAGTCCACGACTGATCGCGCGACTGGTCGCGCGACCGGTCGTGGACTATGAAAGATGCCGGTGACGAAATTTGTCTCGATTCTCCATATGCGCTTTGCCGCATGCGGCACGTCGTTTTTGAATGTCTTGCGGTTTCGAACTGCAATTACCGTACTCATCTCGCCTCCCTAACAATTGATAGGACACCATATTTTTTTGTTGACTGCCTTTCTTTTCTTGTCGGTTTTGACTTTTTCTGTCCGTTTGGTTCGAGCATACAGGGCGTTTTAGCTTCCGTGAACAGTTCAGAAACTTGCTCTTTCCCTATTATGGACGATCGAGACCGCATTGGGATTGAAGGAACTGGCCAGCAATAGTAGAAGGTTAAATAAGTCTCTAAGTTACAGGTTGCGCGCCCTAGTCTTCCATTGCATTTCTGCTATACGCGCCGGCTGCGGCAAGCGTGACGTGATGTTTGGGAGAACGGTGGCCGACCCACGGTCCATGGAGGTTCTCTCTATTCTCTCACTTCAAAAGGTCTCACCAAAACAGCATGCAAGATAATACAATTGATCACCATTATATCATTAATATACGCAATGCAACATCCACGTGCGGCTCTCGATAACCTCGGCATTGTTGTCGAAATGATTTTATCATTATAACTCCCCACAAGGTTCACAATATCTTAATAGCTTACCCTTCGGCAAAACTACATTCTTCGAGCTTAAACCAAACTGATAAAGTTACCTGGCAAACATCTCAACACTCTACAATATCTCGAAATCAACTTAATCATCCTCGGAACCTTTTCGTTCATTCTCTCTAGAGCAAATCTCTGCAGTAGTTTGGAACATGCACCTACCCACTGCTCTCTTTCTCTGAGAAGGGTGTGCATATTTCCGAACAATCATGTTTTTAATGCTGGGCTTTCCATACCACTTCGTGGAATAGTCACCCTTGACAACCCTTACATGGACAATAAGAAAAGGCAGCTAGCCTTCGTGTGGCTTTTTCGAGTAACTTTTATTTGCTCAATTTGTGCATTCAATAATTTTGATTTTTCAATTTGATTTCAATTTTGGACTGGAGACAGCCGAATCTACGTTGCGCACGAGGGCTAACTCTGTTGGTTAAGGAGATGCGGCACTTTTAATCTTCTAAGATTGTTTGGATTGGTGATCTCTGAAGTGAAATCAAGACGGTCTTGAAACTATTGTAAGGTGTTGAGACGTTCGTTCGGGACCTTCATCAGTTCGATTCCATCCTTTCATTGCGCTCCGAAGAAGGGGGTTTCGCGGAAACGTAAGCCGGGAATGTATTGTGGACCTCGTATAGAGTTATAAAGTAATCACGGTAATGCAATAAATCCACAAATGAATCTATAAACGCCAGTATCCTATATGTGTTTGAGATTGGCAAGACGTAGCACAGCCCAATTGTAACGTTCTATGACGCCCACTCGTCAATTTGGAGCCACGCCGAGAACGTGCGGAACTATTTCCCTTGAAACTGAACACGTTCTACAGAGATTATGGTTACATTGTCAATGATCGACGGGAAGAAAAAAAAACGAAAGTTGAAGTGAGCAGCCTGAAAAAGTGTCAGCTACCATGTCTGCCCTTGCTGGTGTGTCAGTCAAGACCAACCAAGACGAATTCCACAGACTCCCTCCTCCACTATAGAATAGGGAGCCCTCAGTGGACAGATCCACAATGAAATTCGCATGCCCAACCATAAGCGTTGACTCTCCGCACAACTACGAGCGTAAGGATCTTCGAACGATCTGTGAAGAGAAAGATTTCACAATCTGCATGATTCTTTCTCGCCGCTGTTCTTTGGGAGGTTGTTTTTCAGAACCTGAAAGCGTCGGTGTTACGAAACATTTCGCTGTTACGCCCAACGAAACATTGAAAAAGCAAGTAAGTTTGTCAACTAATCTTTGGTGTTTTATATTGGAATTGGGTCGTACGGTTTACAGCGCGCCTCCATCCCTTACTTCTTCAGGGGGAC